AGGCATTAAAAGCAAACACAGGATGTCCCTACCTGCTGAGTAATATTCACTGAACAGTCAACTGCTTTTACACAAAAAGATCCCACAACGAGGAAACTCAAAGAGAGTGTTTCGAGGAACTGGCAACTGTATCTAGTCATAGTCAGTAAATTAAATAGAAGGATCAATTACTTCCATCATTTTACAACCCCACTTTCTGCTCTTTAAGGTGCAAGAAACTGAGAATATTCCTCTTTTTCATGCTGCTCTGTGAAACAGACAATGGAAAACAACCGTGTGATATGTGCTTGGCTATTTCGTTGTACACACGTTTATATTTATTTATGTTTATATATATTTATTTATGAAACAGCAAAGCTTACACAAACCATGCAGTCAAGGGCACTCTTTAAACACTCTTATTCCACTGTACAAGAGAACCTGAACTTCTCCATGGGAGAGCTGAGTGCACGAAGAACACAGAAGTTTTTAAAAAGGAGAGCAAGACAAATGCAATTATTACAAGTAGTAAAATTGGGCTCTGAAGAATACAAAATCATTAAAAAAAAAATGCAGTGCGGTATGGTGCCTCAGCCCACAAGCAAGTACCAACAAAGCCACCTTTGAGAACACAGCTACACAAATTTTCAGCTGGCTCTACCGAGAAGCAAAATGTAACAGCCCAGTGAACAAAGTGTGCCATTGTCACTCTGCCAAACGACAAAAATGTGCCATTTTCAGTGCCTGAGCATCCCCACAGAACAATTGCCACCCCACGTTGTGCAGCTGAAACCTTTTTGTGCCTGGTAAAGTCCAACAAAACCAAGCTCAGAAATACTTCACAGTTAGGCCAGTACACCGCTTATGCGGCAGGTCAGTACAAGTGCCAAGGACTGAGAATGTCAAAGATCCCAGTTTTAAGTAAGAGAAAAGGTGTAGCGTAAAGAAAAACACTCCAGATTAAGATCAAGAGGTACTCAGCAGCCCTGATGTTGGGGATCCAAAGCAATGGGCAGCAGCAAGTCCAGCATCCACAGTCACCTGATGAATATGCTTATCTGCTGTCATATCGAAGTGCAAAACCAGCACCTTTTACACATTTTACTGCAAGAGTCTACATTAAATGTTATGCCTTCGGTAGAGGCGCTTATAGTAGAGGATTTCTCTCGGTCACAGCAGGGCTTCACGTTCTTTGAAATGCAGTCAAACAAACCATTTAAACCTGGCCCTCCTCACGGGGCTTAATTATTTAACTTCCCACTGCAACGATCCTCATCTGACCTGTCTGAATTTTAATTGTTATTTTATACAGAGAGAAACTTACACAGAATTTTAGTTTCGTGTCGTTTTCAAACAGTGGGTTTTGTATATCCACTAAAGAAATCTTTGCACCCCAATTAGCAAGGTCTTAGAAGAGAAAAAGTTCTTAAGTATTCCCTAGTAATGTACATATTTCTCAGATTAAAGCGATGGTGGGTTACCATTTCACAGAAAACTAAAAACCTTCTCCTTCTAGCGGCACAAAATTCCAATTCTGCCAGGTCAAAAGATATCGGTCCTTAAAGCTGTCACTGGTCCCAGACACAACAACGACGGGCCTGTAGCCAGGGCACGATTTTAAGAACTTCCAAAAACTTATTCCTCGAGCAAAACTTAAAATTTTTGCAAACCGCCGTTTCCGAGCGTTTTAAGGAACGATTTTAGGATCGAACCCCGAGAACCGCGACGTCTTGAAAAAAACTTGGGAGCACAGGAGTGTCTGCAAGAAAACAGCTTCAGGACCTCCAGCCCTCCAGGAAAAGCGAAGTCACTACAAGAAAACAGCTCTGGGACCTCCAACTCTCCTGGAAAAGCAAAGTGACTACAAGAAAACAGCTTTGGGACCTCCAGCCCTGCAGGAAAAGCGAAGTTACTACGAGACCCACCGCGCTTCGCAGCCGCGCTCCTCCCCTTCCACAAAAACAAACAAAAAACCCAAACAAAAAAGCAGCAACTCCAAAATCCAGCCAGCCACGCACAGCTCGACTCCCCCCCGCGGCGGAAGGTTCTTTGTTTGTTTGTTTTATAAGAAAAAAACACCCACTTTCTACGGGGCGAACACCTTCCCCCCCCCCCGCTCCGCCTGCCGACCCCGCACATGGCGGAGCGCCCCCCCACCCCACCCCGGGAGCTCACCGGTGTGCGCGGCGACGGGACGCGGTGTTGTCCCCTAGGTTGCGGGGGGAGAAGGATCAGCAAGTGGAGGAGCAGCCGAGAGCGGCCCCTGTGCGGCCCCGCCGGGCCCGAAGCAGCTCCGGCCCCGGCCCGTAACCCGGGATACGGCGGATGGCGGCCGCGGCAGGACACGCTTTGATGAGTGGCGAGAGGAGCAGCCAATAGGAGCGGGCGGCTCCGCCCGCTCAGCCAATCAGCGGCGAGCTCCGCGCCATCGCCCCGCCCCGCCGCGCTCCCCCGGCCCGGGCGGGAGCGAACGCGGCGACCCTACAAAAACACGGGGGAGCGGCCGGGCCCGCTCTGCCCCTGCCCCTATCCCTGCCCCTATCCCTGTCCCGCCGGCATGTCCGTCCAGCCCCCTGTGCCCGGGCTGCGGAGCCGGCGCCCTGCTGACGCTCCCCGCAGGGCAGCGCTGCCCGGCCCCCCCCGCCCGCCCCGCCGTCCCTCCCTCCCGCCCCCGCAGCCCTGCCCGGCCCCGCCGAGCCGCGCAGTCCCGGCCGCCCCCCGGCAGCCATGGGGCCGCGGTGGCTCCCGCTGCTGGCGGTGACCATCGCCGTGGCCCAGGCGGCGACCTGTGAGTGGGGAGAGGGAGGGGAGCGGGGGGGACGCGGCGGGACGGGACGGGATGGGATGGCGGGGTTGACCCGGAGAGTGAGCGGATCCATCGATCCCAAGGGATCCGACAGCTTTTTGGGACGGTCGGGCTGTGACCCGGGGCCGTGAGCGGCTCTGGAGCTGTTCGTGGCCCAGGGGAGAGTGTCCCTTCGTGGGATCCTCTCCCGGGAACAGCCCTTGGGGGTGGACAGGTCGTGGTCTGCGGGAGACATCGCGTCCTTGTGCGGTCCCCGACTTTGGCTGAGCTCAGACCTAGGGAAGGGCTGCTTGCACTCACAGGTTAAAAACCAAATCATCATCATCATCATAATCAAGTCCTACTTCTCGAAACAAAAGTCTTTTAGTAGTGAAATAAGTCTGTATCTGGAACAAGCTCAAAGTAAGCCTCTCTCTGACCCGTTTTACTAATGATTAAACCGGCAGAAGAGAAACCCAGTGTTTACCATTCGGGCTTTCAATGTTTGTTCGCTTCTCGAAGTCAGAAATCCTGGCCCTCAGTCTCGAAAGACGAAAGTTCATTTTTGTAACTTTTTTTTTTTTTTTTAATGAGTCTTCTAGCGAATGTTTCATAATGTTCTTTTCTCCCGATTTCATCACGTTTTCGGCTCTGTGTATCTTCTCCATCGCGTACCTCGTCACTTTCTCTTTTCTCAATGGCAGTGTCAATAGCTCATGCGAAATTTCTGCGGTCCATGTCGTCCGGCTTCCTATCCCGGTCTCTGAACAATGGCAGGGATTCCTGGAATGACAGGGAGGCAGGAAGACAAAACAGCTTAATGATGCAGCTCGTACCCTTCAGTAATCCTAAAGGAAAGTGGCTACTCTGCTGGTCTTAGTGCAGTTGTTTGGTCAAACACCCAATGCGGGACACACTTTGGAGAAGGGACAGATGAATAGTAGTGGCTGACTTTTATTTTGTTGGCTGCATGAAGCTGGTGTCACTGAGAAGCATTTTGGGAGACTCCGGTCCCTGGAATTTTGTGGCTGTTTGCAATACAGCAGCATCACGTGTCCTTTTTGTTCAGTTTGTGGAGGCTCTTGAGTTTTTGGGAGAGAGCAGGACTGGGCTAGAGCTGCTTTCAGTGACTGGGGGTTTAGGTAAGCAGGTTTAAGTGGCCCACTTAAGGCCGGTTTATGGTTGCATCTACACAACAAAACAGCTGTAAGAAAACAACTGAATCTCTTCCTCTCCTACAATTTTTCTTTCTTTAGTAGCATTGCTCTTAAACAGGTACTTGATATGTCATCACTGCACGGTGTCTGTACAACACCTATGGAAATTGTGAGGCTGTTGAGTCGCAGGACCTTCAGCGATCACCAAGTGAAACACACCAAGCACATGAAGGGTTAACTGTTGGTTTGGCAGGCTCAGAAGTGGGCTGGAGTTTCCTGTAATCAAACTGGCAGCAGCAGTAGCAGTCAGGATTGTTTTTTAATAAAGGTCCTGTCATAATCTGTGTAGTTAAAACAGAGATTAATAAATACACTAGTAATTCTGTGCAGGGAAGTTGGAATATTGGCGCTAAACCCCATGGAATTTGCTGTGAGTTACATGTTTTATTTACACTCAGTGTCATAGGAAATCAGCTTAGGAGAAGGATAAACAGCTCTGATGTAGGAGAGAAGACCTATTTCCATTACCCCACTGTATATTGGAGACATGAGGTAGGGTAGGCAGTGTTATATCTGTTTGCGTGCACTTACAGTAAATAAAACACAAGAAAACCTCAAAACTGCGTGAAAATGAGAATGATGCAGCTAAAGGTCAAAACAAGGTTATTTGAAGTCAGCTGTGAATTAGGCCTCATCTGCACCACAGAGCCTGTGCCCCAAAGCTATGTCAGCGTGTTTGTGCTGGTAGAAAACATCAAATGCAAATAAAATCAGCAGGTGTGACACAAAATTTTACTTTTTATGTTGTCACTCCTTTTGCCTCAGAATAAATGGTGCTTCGGTATCCTTCTTATTATCTTGCTTTTAGGCACTGACAAAGCATTTACTCAAAGTAATTAAAATAAGACTGCTAGCAACAGTTGGTGGTAAATAAGTTATCAAAGTGTTTTCCTGGGAATGCTTTCCAGTGCAGCTAGGGTTCAGAAAAGGTCTCAGGAGGCCTTTCCTGTCCTGTCATCTCCCTCTGCATTTTGCCAGTCTCCCAGGGGACAGCATGTTAGTGGTGGGCTTTTGGATTGAGAGAAAAGGTCTAAGACATCCACAGCTGCACAGTTTCCAATTCGTTACTCCTCCTCTCAGCTCAGTGAAGAACAATCAGAAAGTCCAAACCCACCTCTTGGAATACACTGTTAACAGTCCTTCTTGAGGCACACTTCTGGAGTGCCTTAAGGATTGTGAAAGTGGAAGGCAGCAGCAGAGGAGAGCAGGCTTGAAGCATCTCTTTCGTGACGAGAATTCTGTGGGAAGTGGAGGCCCAGGAAATGAGGTGAGATTGTTCTTTCTCCAAGCAGTTTCCTCGAGGATCAGTCTCACCTTGCAGCGTCCCTTCTGTTCTCCAGTAGAAGCACCACGTGGATTAGCATGCCTGCAAGAAAAAAACGAATCATCAAATAGCAGACTGATACACTTATGAGCAGGGAACAAGACAAGCTGACCTCTCCTCTTTGCATCCCTAAGCAGCTTGGTGGTTGCTCTTTGAGATAAAGGGGTGCTTTAAAACCTGAGGGGTGTGCTGTGGTACATCCACCTTACGCTAAGGAAATTTTGTCTGTTGCCTTTCTGGAATGATTAATCTTACCAAATGGATCAGTTTGGAAGTACAAGCTCACCCCACGTGAAGTACGTTCGGGATGCTGTAACAACAGAAAGGTTTCTTCAGGTCATTATCCAAGGTGCAGAGTGCTTCAGCTTTGTTCCCTGGAACTTGCTAGAGACCTTAATGTGTTCAGGTTGGTCTGGTTTTATTAAATATGTCATCTAAAAGCCATTCTCCATTCAGGTTCTGAGCCTCATTAGCTGCTCTTCTTAAGTTTTCTCTTCCCTGTTGTCTCTAAAAAGAAGACCGAGACCGAAGCAAAAATATCTTTCATTTTTAGTATCATTTCTCAACTCACCCATTTGTTCACCAGCTGTGTAAAAGTTAATAAAATGACAATAACAAGACATGGGAAAATTAGGTAACAACGCATAACATGATGGATCTGAAATATAAAAGTTAGCTAGGATTCTGTTTTGTCTTGGTAAACTGTGAGTGTATTCATAGGTTATCTGAGATTTCTCACCTTTGTCTTGTTCCGTGCAGTTCTGAAACAATAAAATTACATTTATGTTAATTACATATAACAAGTACCCTGATTTTGTAGTTTTGGTCTCACATGACTTAAACGACTTATATTACAGGTAATATAAGAGGCTTTGCAGCTTTTTTCCACTTAGGGGGCACATATCTCATTTTGTAATACTCATATCTTCAAAAAAAAATCATATATCTTGTGCTGAATATGAGAGTTAAATTGTGCTTCAGACATAGCATTGCACAAACATTTTGGTGACTCAGAATTTTTTTTTTTTCCTTGTCAGCAACAGCTCCCCCAGACACAGAAAACACATTCCTGGGATTTCTTGCCCACAGTTTTCAAAATGACAGTGAACTCAGCTCCTGACTAAGCATTTAATTTGGAATTTTGTGTTAGGTTCCTCGTATTTATTCAGTGTTTACAACTTTGCTCAGCTGTTAAAAAGGTGGATAAATAATGACAGAGCTCCTTTGTTTCTCTCAAGTTCTATCCCAGCAATATGCCTCTCAGTTCCTGCTGCGGAAACGTCGAGCCAACTCCTTTTTGGAAGAAAGCAAGAAAGGAAATCTAGAGAGAGAATGCATTGAAGAATTGTGCAATAAGGAAGAAGCCAGGGAAGTCTTTGAAAACAATCCTGAAACTGTAAGTATTTCATGAATATCTGTGACATAGAGAATTCTTTGCAGAGGGAAAGCCAGAAGTACATAAAATTCACCCTTCAAAGCTGTAAGAACCTTAATGAAAGGGCTAGATTTAATTACTGCAAGATTTTTTTTTTCAAAGTGTGGAGAACTCTCTTCCTCAGTTTGGTACCACTGCACATTTTTTGGTAGCAGGTATATTTTATTTACCTTCTGGCTACAAAAGGTTTATTATGTTTTGCAAACAATGTCAGTTCCAAGTTCTGTCTTTGATAACATTGGATGTATTTGGCAATATCAGTTGTTAATTTTAAATAGTTTCAGTAATCAGTGGTCAATTGCTTTTAATAATTTTTGCTTTAGTAACACTTTTCATTTTGGGATGAAGTTTCTGTGAGAAGTTAAATGTATTCCAGGGGGGTTTGTTTGTTTTTAGGTTGAAAATGGGAAATAAAGGAGGCTGGCTCTGCATCTAATAACAGCATCAGACCAGATCCTCCCACTTGAAGAGAGTTTTCAAAGCAATTTTGATACCCAGTTCATTTTCACTGTCTTCATCTTGCAAGTTCCCAATTCATTGCAGTGTCTTAATCTCTCCATTGAACCTTGTGTGTATTAAATAATCTGCTTGTTTAGCCTAAAGAACAGCGATATAGAAAACCTGGCCTATATTCTGTGAGTCAAAGTAACTTTTTAATTCCTTTGTAGTCCTAATACCAATATATTTTAGAACTTGTTCAGTGATATAGTTTGCTCTAATTTTATCTACCTGAATTTTTTTCTTTTCTTTCTGCAGGAGTATTTTTATCCCAAATATTTAGGTAAGTCCAAAAAAAAACCAGACCCTAAACAACTCCAGTGTATAATTCAGTGATCCTCTCATTTGGATAATACTGGTTTAGTTATTCTACCCAGAGCACTTGAATGATTTCCATGCTGATTATAATGCACAGAATCTCCCTGAGCTCTTGGAGATTGCTCTGTGATCAGCCACCCTTAACGTGCCCAGACAAGTTTCCTAATTCAAGCTTAGGGAACAGACCCTTTGAAGATGGATGAGCTTGCTGTGATTTCAGCCTAAATGAGCGCTGGTGTCATCAGCAGATCGTGTGGGTTTGCATTTGCAGACTGCCTTGCCTCCCATCGAGCTGGGGTGTTCAGGGTTGCTGCGGTTACTCCCGATTCTCCAGCTGACCTGAGGGACTGTGTCAAGGGTAAGTGCTGCTGTTAAATGCTTCACCCAATGCACTCACATCTCAGAACACATGCATGGCTTCAAAGCAGTTCCCATAGGCAGAAAAACAGACAAATAACCGCTTAACTCAATAATCTAAAGCAGAAATGGACTAAAAATGTTGGGTGAGACAGGGCATTTTCAGAGAAAGCAGTATAAATGACTGGGTTTAGCTTTGTGAAACACCCTGGAAAAGAACCATAACTAAGTGCAAAATGGAAGGCAAAACTCTCCTGGAAACAGAAGTGTCCTACATCAACCCCCCAATATTCCCCAGTGCCTCTGTACTCTACTATGTCTTTAACTCTTTGCATCTAGCAAGTCACGTTAATATTAATATATCTGCATATTTTGAACTTTGCTTTCTGAGGTCTTGCTGGCACATATAAAGAATCTTCAGTTGCTTTTTATGATGCAGATTTTTGTGTCGCTGAAGTTGATATTTGTAAGGGGTACTTGTATTATACCCTGATGTATCCAGCCTACCCTTGACCTGGATGGGCAAGGCAACCTGAGGTGCCAGTTTCTCTGTAAAAGTGACCCTCCTTGAACAGAGAAACTCAGCTAATTTTGAAGTCTTGGCATTCTTGAGACTTTCATCTGTCTAGTGAAATTTGTGGTGATATAACAAGGCAGAGCACTGTTCTTTAAAAAGTGAAATACATCCTTAAAATGTAATGAAAACAGTAAGAAGTCTGAATTTGGCCATATTTTGCAGGTATTGGCATGGTTTGGGAAGTAATTTGTCTCCTAGTTGTTTTCTGTCTGACAAAGAAAGTACTGATGTCTTGCATCAAGCCCTTTCCTCTTTCATGACATGGAGGAGGAGAAGAAGAATAAACTGATTTCTTGAGGAAAAATAACCCCAAATAACAACCCTTTTCAATGCTTTCCATCCCACAGAAATTTCCAACCAGTGCAGCCCCCTGCCCTGCCATAAAGATGGATATAAGGATTGCGTAGATGGACAAGGCAAATACACCTGTGTCTGCAAACCGGGGTGGAGAGGAGAGAACTGTGAAGAAGGTACGGCCTTTGATCTCATGTGTTGGTTCTCAGGAGTACAACTACAGCTTTGCTGTCATTGAACGGTGTCTCAGTGCGTTTGGTTTTGTTTTCCTCGCAGATATAAATGAGTGTGAAGACTTAAATGGAGGTTGTAGCCAACGCTGTGCCAATTTACCCGGGAGCTACCGCTGCTTGTGTGAAGATGGATACTTCATGCGCCCCAACAAATGGGATTGTGCAGGTACAGGGTGAGACTTAAGAACACTATTCCATGACAATACATTGCCTGCTGACTAGGGAGAAGAAAGAATTTAGTCCCACAGTTCCATAAATGCTCAAAGTTCATAAAAGGTTGTGTTGCCTCTGAAAGATGCAGCCCTGCTTTGACTGGGCTACTCACTGCCAGCTTTTCTGACAACCACGTGGTGAACCAGATCCAGGAGAAAAAGAAAGAAAGAGGAAAAAGGCTATAGATGAGATTCTTCTTCATTTCAGAGCTCCACAGAGCTTGGTTTTGTCCCTTGCCAGTCTCACATAGGCTTTAAGTGTGCTAAAACAAGAATCTAAAGTGGTGTGACCAGCTAATACTGTTACCATGGAAATCCTGCCTGGCCTTAGTTTGAATCATTCCTAATTAGTGATGGTGCTCTTTCAGGAGTTTGAAATTCACTGGAGAAGAAACTATTAATGAATCCAAAAATTCTCATAATGGAGAGAGAGATTTGGCTTTTATTCACCCAGAATAATTTTTTTTTTTCTGTGCCTGCCTCTATCTGTTATTATTGACCAGGACCTACATGCTCATTCCAGTCCAGATAAAGACCATGTGCTGACATAGTTAGCAATTCTTACTGCATAATTAGAAAAAAAAATACAACTTCATTTTATTTTGATGTCATGTTTTACTGCCAAACTATGACAACAGTTTTGGGTAATGTCAGATAATTTAAGAGGCTGAATTTGATGGCCATCCTCAGCTATCGCTTTCTTTAGTCTATAAATTTTTGTGAATTTAATAACTTTCAAAGTAATGCCAAAACAACCAAAGATTGTGGTTTTGTCAGAAAGGGCAAGTAGATAAGTTGGTTAGAATCTCTGTGATTCTTGAAAAGATACTGGAAAATTTGGTTAAAAAATTAATCAAAGCTGAAAATAGACCACTGTACCTTAGTACCTCGAGTACCAGTTCTGTCATTTGATAAACTGGATTTTAGTATTTCATTACATCCAACTACAGTTACACAACTAGGAATTTGGAATACACATGGTAACTGCAGAAAAGTAGTCCAAATTCGGGGAATCTTTGACTTAATAAGGTTCCAAGAGTCCTGGCAAGCCAGGGGCAGACTCTGTTCTCTCCCTGTGGTTCACCATTTCCACTACTACAGAACCACAGAGAAAACTGGAATGATCCCTGCACGCACAAGGGGGGATGAAGTACTACCAGGGATCTGATATTTTTCTGTCCAAAAGACATTTAACAAGATTGATGCCACGTGCTGAATCCAATTGTCACATCTGCATCGTGGAAATGACAGTGAAAAATTGGAAACCCCCCAGAAGACAGACACTAAAAGGGTTTGAGGGATAGAGAGACAAGTGAGGGACTTGAACACCTGTCAGCAGAGCCAATTAAAAGACAATTGTGACATGAATTGATTGTAGCATGAAAGAACCTCCAACAGGATTATCTCTTGTCTTTCTTTCTGGATGTCTTTTTTTCTAAGGTAGGATTTTATTCTGCAGTCTGGTTTAGTTTGTAGGAAGCCTGCAGGCAGTTTCTCTCCCTGCCTTTCTGGACAAGCATCACTTTTCCTGTTACCCACAGAACACAGGAAAGAATGAGAGAGATGATAGGCAGGCAGAGAATTTTTCTTCCACTAAGGGCATGCAGAGGTGTCTTTTCCCTCTGGAAATCTTCATGGCTATGGCTGTATTCTGCTATGAAAGCATGGCAGACCAGTTTTCCAGCCTCACCCAGTTTGGATAGGGTTAGGAAAAGAAGTGATATGGAAGATAGTGACTTGGTTTTTAATAACTTGTTTGTATTTCTAGATATAAATGAGTGTGTGCTACATCCAAACATCTGTGGGACAGCCATCTGTAAAAACACCCAGGGAAAATATGAATGTGAATGTGCAGAGGGCTACGCATACAATTCAACTTCCAAGAGCTGTGAAGGTAGGGCTTGGCTCCCAATCCCCCTCCTTTCCTTATTCCCAGACACTGGATTCTCAGTTCATGGGATCTCTCCTTTCCCACTGCAGGGAGGACTTTCAGTCCAAGCTCTAAAAAACTGTCTGACATGTTTCTTGCAGGTACCTTGGACCAATGTGTTGAGCATCTGAACATCACTAGAGTATTTTGTCTTAGAATGTATTTTTTTTTATCTCTCTTGGTTAAAGGTTTTGTTTAATACACATCAGAAATTAAATTTCAGTTGTAGGACAGCTACGAAAGCTCTTAAGAGTTTTACAACGAAGAGGAATTTTCTACATTGCCAGTTGAAGAAAAATATATCAATGACTGGTTTTTGTATTTTAGATGCTGCCTTTATGTTACTGCTCAAAAGGACACAGAAACAGCTTCTTGCTGGCCATGAATCTTTTGCTCCATGGCTTTTCCTGCAGGTTTCTTGTAACAAAGCTCTGCACAGTGCTAGTGATTGCACATCCAGATGTCAGCTCTTTGGTCCAGTTACTATGGGATTAAAATGTTACTGACAATTGTATATCCCTGTGAGCACCAAAGTGAGAAAAACTTCACAGTAATTTATCTGATTCTTGCTCCTCTCGGTATTTTCCTCAGATAGATTCAATTCGATGCAACCCACGCGAGTGCTGCTGTTCTAGGCTGCAAGATGAGGATGCTACAACGAAAAGTCTCACCTCCTAGGAGGAGATTATGCTGCTAAGCTTTTAGACCCTGCTGTAACCACATTAAATGAGTCACCAAATCCTTTCTGAGGACAGGATAGTGCAGACTGACAGGAATGCCAAGTGACATTAGCTTTTCATTGGCATGTTGCATGTAGATGGCCAAACTCAGTTACGGTTATTAGAAAAAGTGAATTTACTTACATTTATGCGCAGCTCTCTCTGTGATGACAGATTCCAGTAGACTGGAACAGCAAAGGGTTTGTTTTCATCTTTTCCTCAGCCATTCCTGGGAGAATGTTGCTGCAGTTCTTCATCCCTGCTGGAGATGGGAGACACTATGAGTGGAAAATACCTGTACAGTCCTGTCTTTGTTTCACAGTAACCATACAATTTTAGACACACTGTTCGATTATCTTTCTCTCACTTTTGCAAGTCCAAACGCCTTGCCCAAAAAAAAAAAAAAAATAGGTAATGGAAATGAGTAAGTACACTTACTGTGCTAGAGGAGTCTATCCTGCAGTCAGGAGAACTGAACCCATCTCTTCAAGGATCAAGGTTTTCTCTTTAATCTTTAAAAAGAAGAAATCTCAGCATAGTATAAAACAGATTTAAATGCGTGCATTGGTACAAAATTGTTTATTCCCACTAGGAGGGCCATTTGTTTCAAAAGGAGTGTTGCAGTTACTTTAATCTGAGGCTCCAAATCACCCTTATTAGAGTCTCTTGTCAGGGGGAGGTTTTGTTTGTTTTTACATCAGAACTGTAAAATCTACAGTTGGCCTTTTACCCAGCCTTTCGTTTTTAAATTATTTGTTGTGTACAACCTGCTAAACAGAAAATGAAGTTCCTTGAGTTGATTTAGCTTATTGGCAGCTCAAATCAGCCTGTTGTCTCCACAAGCAGATGCTGCCTGAAACTCAGCTATTTATGAGATGATTGTATTTAATTTTGAAAGGCATTTTGCCCTGAGATTATTTTGGTTTTATGTTAATAAAGCAGGTCCTTTCTTCACACACTTGCCCTATATACTCTTAAGATTAAATCTAAGCTCTGATGATGCCTTATAGGGAAAGGAAGAGGTCTGACCCAAAATGGTATTTCTGCCATACGTGGTGGTCATTTATGAGGTCTCTTTCATTAATTAAAACATGTTACAGCTCGGTTTCTTAGTGCCTCACAACTCAGGCCAAACTGTCTGCAGCTCTCCACACCAGGGCTCTCTATCAGATTAGTAAGTCTTACGCACCCAGCAGGTAATTCTGGATTGTAAATTTTACACAGGAGACGTCCAGGAGCGTTAGTTTAGCTTAGCAGCAGTCATCTGATGAATTCCTGTTCTTCCAGAGAACCCATCTTGTCCATTATTCCACTAATTTGTGTTAGTTTATCAGTCTGTTCCGAGAATAAGTCTTCCTGTATGCTTCCATTTCTCCTAGATATCGATGAATGTGCTGAAAATAATTGTGCTCAGCTCTGTGTAAACTCTCCAGGAAGTTACAGCTGCTACTGTGATGGCAAGAAAGGGTTCAAGCTCTCCAAGGACATGAAGAACTGTGAGGTAAGACTGTGCTATGCAAAATTCCACGTGGCAAATCACAAAATTGGGTATTTCTTGATAGCAGGATAAATTAGATTAAGGCAAATAGGAAGCTATTTGAGAACAGATTAAAAATTGCTGGAGATTCTGATCTATGGTTTGGCTCACAAAGCAGACCTGGTAGGGATTTGGATGCCATTCAGTTCATGAGTGTTCATTTACAGGAGTCCTGTCAAAAGAAACTTGCCTTAGCCAGTCATCTTCATTCTCTGCTGTTTCCAAAATAAGCCTCAGCTTTCTCCTCTCAAACAAATAATTTCAGTTCAGCCAGCTCAGAGGCAGAGTGTTCCATTTGCCCATATGTTCCCAAGTTTTCCTTAGACTGCACAGAAGTTTGCACTCACTGTTTCAGAATCTCTCTGTGCTTTGCCTGTTTGGATTGAAAAAAAGCCCCACCAGCTCCGGATTGTTTTCCACAGTTCTCATCTGCCATAGCTGAAGAAAAAGCACTCAATAATACTTGCCAATTGAAGAACATCCTGCAGCCAAAACTGGCTGTTCTTGCTCAGTTTGGAAATTTACACTTCTTAGTAGCAGAAACTTTGAAACTCTGGAGGACCAGAATTCAAGGATTCCAGTTCAAGGGTTTTCTTCTGTTCTCTGTGTACTTTGAAAGGTGCAGGCGGGCTGAGACCTGTTTTGTGAAGGGAAATCACACAACAAGTGCCAACAAAAAAAAACAAACCACCTCTAACAGAGTCTAACCAAATTTGGATTGAACTTCAGGAGCAAGATCTGACACAAGTTCTGGCATCTGTGTGTTAGATCTTGTTGGCACCTTCTGAAGTTTAGTATCTGAGCAACACTTGGCATAAATTCTATTCCATTTTGCTCCTCCTTGAAATAGTAACACGTAATGAGGCTGGAAGAGGCTCTTACTTTTAATGCTGTTGTTCAAATGTGATTAATTCTCTATCTGGAAGTTAGTTTTAAAAGAGTTTAATCAGCTGCAAATAAATGCAGTCTACAGACTAGTGATACCAGCAGGCTTAAAATGAAGAAGCCATAAAATTCAAGATGAGCACCTCTACATTTACTGGAACTGCTGCATCAGGAGTACAGAAGTCAGAGTTTGGGAACTGCATCAATAACTTTTACAGGAGTGCAGCATTTCCTGAGAACAGAAAAGTTCTCACACCTGTTCCTGATCATTCTGTTCTGCAGTACTGCTATTCTGCCATCATGGGGTGTTTTGAGTGATAAGATTAGATCCAAATGACTTTTAGACTTTTTTTAGACCCCTCAGTGAGGCAGGTGCTCTAAACCCCATGCTGGGGTCTTCCCGCCTCTCTCCACACACACAGCCCAATTTCCTGGACCTAAAGGAATCAGTCTTTTACTTCTAAATGAAATAGTACATTTTACTTAATCACAAAATTACACTTTCAGAAGATAAGTCAGCAGTGCCTTAGAATGGATGCTTGGCATTGCTTTACTGAACATTTTCCCAGTTTAAACTTGCACCCCACTCCTGAATAGAAACATCTTTGTTTAAAACATCAGGTGGATGAATAGCTGAAGGAATAAGCACAATTTCCCCCCTGCCATTGCAAGCGTGATTACTCACACTGACTTTGGCAAGAGCATTAGGATTAATCCTAGTGTTACATACTGTTTGTAGTTGCCACAAATACTTGGAATTTTTTACCCTTTCCCTGATAATGTGCTCTTAGGGGTTTCATAGTCCCACTATTCCAGTAGGAATTGTGGTGTTGCTTTTGTCAACGTTCCTTTCCAGAGCTCAAATAAGACAAGTACATTCAAGGAACAGCCAAGACAGAAACATATTATTTAATCTGTTACTTAATCCACTTGTAAATTGTTACTTTTTATTCCAGGTAAATGATTCTAGTTGTACTAAAGGTCATTTAGCTATGAGTAGCTGTAAGTCAGTATTGATAAAGAAAAGAAATCACCTTTTTTTAATGCAATCTTCTCAGGACACAGCTCTGACCCATCCCCTTCTAACACCTGATCAGGTTTAGATTCTACAGAACTTCAATAATGGAGCTTGGCAGGACCCCCAGTATGGGGGTGTCAGACATCCCTGGTGAAAGGGAAGCACCTGATGGAAGATTCGAATCCTTAATTCAAATACTAAATATTTAAATAGTAGTTTTGATCCACCAGAACGGTGTTCCAACCTGAGTTATCCTCCAGCAATTTAAATAATGGACATTTCAAAAGCAAAACCACACCACTTCATTTGTACATAGGTATTCAAGTTTTAAAAAGCCCAAAAACCAGAGGTAAGCCATTCTTTAGAAACAAAAAAGGACAGGACAGCAGCCAACAGGAGTGCTTCATAAGCTATCACAATGCATTAACAGGCTTTTTTTCTCTATTTTCAGTCTATTACTGAGTGTATCCCACTGAACCTCGAAAAGAATTATGAACTCCTTTACCTGGCAGAGCAATTCATTGGAATTCCCGTCCTCTACCTAAAGTTTAAATTGCCTAATGTCACAAGGTAAGCACTGACTGGTTATAGAAGCGTGCACTGGCATTATGGACATCTGTGCTCATTGATTTTCTGAGGGTTTAGAAAGAGTGCCTTGCATGCATAAATTACATCACCACCTCCACAGTGGTTAAGGTACCTTTGTGTGAAGAATGAATTATCTCAGGTTCCACAACATGTCTGTGAATAACTGGGTTGAAGTCTTGAGGCAGTTACACTCCCCATTCCCAGTGCTGCTGTAAGGAAGAGGGGTGTGGGACAAGGAGTTCCCAGAGATCCAGAACTGAATGGGGAGAAAGGGAAGAGGATTGAGGGCAGTAAGTTTCATAGGCAGTGGGTGCTCTTGGTTTGTGGAGAAGAGAGCAAAATGATTGTGGCTTTCTCACGGCAGAAGCTTCCTCTGGAGGAAACAGCAGGGGCTGGGGAAGATGGGGATACAGATACAGAAAGGCATTTAAAATTATCAGCAGAAAATCCAGAGATTATAGGAAAATAATTACTGTACAGCTCCCAGTTAAATATGGGAATGCCTTCAGTTTGGATGTTGCTGGTAGTTCACACATGCTCTGGGTAGAAGCTGTGACACGCCCTGCACTTACTGCTGAGAAACAAAACCAGGCCAGCATGTTCCAAGGACAGCACCTTGTCTACAGATTTTCTTTACAGCTGTCAGAGCAATTGTTAGTGCTGGTGACCCCTTTATTACTTGTGGACTTGAGCTGAAATTGCAGCTTGACTTCCTGACAGAACAATTTGAAGGTAACAGCAGCAGCAGCTGTTTGAGCTGGTGGTCCCCAGAGCCCCAGAACCTTACAGAAGGACATAAATACTGAGAACTTTCTCCTGTGCTGCTGGTCCAAGTCAGCCAAGCATTAATGCTGTCCTGGAAGACCTTTCTGGGGTGATAAATGTTTGAAGGTGTCCTGAGAGTGTCTGTGTAAATACAGGACGGGTCTGGGTGCAGGTCTGGGGATGGGCAGCTCCATCTGGCGGAAAAGGAACAGCACTGAGAGTGAAAAGCACCCCAATTAATCACAACTGCCTTCAGAAAGCCCTGACTTCCAAATGCTTTGCTTTGCCCTTTCATCTTTAACCTATTTTATCCATTCCCAGAGCTTCAGGAGGCGCAGACTCCCATTTTGCCACACACACACGTTCGGCCAAGATCCAGATAACAAACCCTCAGAAATCAGAGAATGGCACATGAAAGGCAGCATAACCAAAGCAAATTGCCAGCTTACAATCATTGTAGGACAACACTTGGCAAGCCTTGTTGTACTGAAGCACATCCTCGCTCATATATTTTGTCTGCATCACGTCCCCACAAAACGCAATGGGAATGTTACATCCATCTTATTCCAGGGAGGGGGATGTCCTTCACGTGTAAGGCTCACAGTGGATTTGGGAACTGAACCAAGGTTCTTTCAAGTGCCAGCTCAGCCTGTTCATCTGGAAACTTTTCACTGGATTCTGGTGAACAAGGCTCCCATTAAATTCTGCTTTTGACTAATTGTTTGCAAACATCACAACTCCTCAGCTGCAGAGATACCGAAAGGTTCATATCCATGAACTTTTTTTAACCCTGCTAATGAGCTATCATAGGCCATACAGCATTTCATGTTTCCTGTCTCCTTATTGAGATTCCTTGTTCACAACTCAGATTTACAGCAGAGTTTGATTTCCGGACATATGATGCAGAGGGAGTTATCCTGTATGCAGAATCCTTTGACAGTTCAGCATGGATATTGCTGGCTCTTCGTGATGGCAAGATTGAAATTCAGTTCAAGAATGAATTTGGAACAAAACTCACCAGTGGAGGCAAAGCCATTAATGATGGGCTGTGGCATATAGTAAGTTGGGTTTTCTTCTCCCCTTTCCTTCCTTTAAACCTCTGTGGAAACATTCTGTGTTTATCAGTAAAGTAGGGAGAAACTAAGCAGCCATTAAAAGATTAAAAATCATGCACTCACACCCGAGATTTAAAAATCAACCAAGAAATTCACAAGAATGCCTTACATCAGGAAGGAACTTGTGTTGCCTGTTCGCAGCCAAGAAAGGGACAATCACCACGAGCTGTCAACATAGCAATTATTCTTTTTAAACATGACAAAGGAAGTGGCAGAATATTGAAAAGTGTGACTGCACGGTCAAGTGGCTAGTTATTAGATACTTTGTGTTTACAGCGAGTTTTACGCTTGCTAGACCAAAATCCATTTTGTTCTTCAAGCCTTCCTCTCTGAGATGAAAGGCCTGGCTCACTTACTCCATCTATAACAGCTACATTTTTGTGTGTGTATGTGTATCTAATTATTTGTATCTTGTTCCAGATATCAGTTGAAGAACTGGAGCACAGCATCAGTGTGAAAATAGCCAAAGAAGCTGTGATGAGTATTAACAGCCCAGGAACTCTTTTTAAGCAGTCCCAGGGTTTCTTGGAGACTAAGATGTACATTGCAGGATTGCCTCGCAAAGTGGGTGATGCTCTTGTTAAACAGGTAAATGAAATGACAAGGCTGATGTTGATTGATACTGTTCTGTTTGTTTAGCTTTGTTTACTTAGGAGTCACAGAGGAAGCAAGTTTGGCACGGAACCCGTTCAGGAAATGAAAATGTGGTTATTAGACAGACCACTGTTCTGAAAATAAAAGCTTTGTGTTCTGCCTTCAGGAAGGTTTCAGTGGTAAAAACGCAGAGCTTTTGGTCTAATCTTTCAGGATTCTGTAACCTGTCTCCTAATAAAGCTTTAAGATTCCCTAAATCACCGTCACTTCTGCTGAGAGGGCATTTTGGGGTGATTCTTGTTTGTGGGGCTGGCTTTGGCAGGCTCTGAGCAGGTGCAGAATTTACTGTGCAGGCAGCACAACGAGCTTGCATTTTTACTGGGTTTTATTATAGCCCAGGCTGGTGGAGCCCTGTGGTTCTTTCACTCTTCTAACCTCAACAGCTCGTTCTGGGGATGGGCTCAGTCAAGTAGCAACTGTCAAACTAGTTGGCAAGGGGAACTCTACACCTTGTTATTTATTTAAAAAAAAAATCTACTTTTGCTCAAAAGTGAGGCAGAAAGAAAAAGTATGAAACAATGCAATGACATCCCCTTATCCAATAGAGAGCAATTCCAGAAATTCCTTTGTGTTTTGGTATAAGAAAAAGATGAAGCTTTCAACAACTAACAATGCTAGTGATTACTGTCTTTCATCTACCAAAAGGCTGCTGGCCTGTTGTTCAGGTCACAACACGAGCTTTGAAAGTTGAAGGAGTCTGTTTTTGTACAGATCACTGGCATCAAAGTGGGAAACAGTAAATCACAAATACCTTTGGAAGGCTCAGATACTAAAAGCATGCCTTTTGTTTTCTCCCAGCATCAGTGCTATAGCCTATGGCATTGATAGGACTATTGTTAACTCCACAGAAGTAAAATAATGTAAAATAATGCCTTATTTTTGACATTTTTAAAACAACTTCGAAGGCAGACCCCTAACACTGCAGTTCTTCTCCAGATTAACCCTCGATTAGATGGCTGTATTCGTGCCTGGAACCTGATGAATCAGGGACATTCAGGTGTAAAAGAAGTTATTCAAGAGAAACAAAGCAAACACTGTTTAGTGTCAGTGGAGAGAGGATCCTTCTACCCTGGCACTGGGATGGCAGCATTTCAGATAAACTACAGTGAGTATTTTTTTTTGCACATGCAATTTTTGCTTCTCAACAAACATCCTGTCTTGAGACTGTAGGTGCATCTCTTACTCCTTCCTGAACCCACAACTTCCTTACCTGACCTCCTGCCTTAACTTTCAAATTTGCAACCCACAATCTCCCTGTGCACACTTGAGAGCCCCAGTCTCTTGGACATTGTCCCAAATCCTGTTGTCATTATACTCTTTCCCATCCCGAATGCCGTGCTACCCTTTATCCCCAATCATTTTCATCCCAAAACTTGCTGTTCTCTCACAGTTTCTAATTCACCAGCACACTTAAAAGGATTTCTCCAGCGTTTTGTATTCTGTGCTTCCAACCAACTTACATCAGTTTCCTGTGCCACTCAAGCTGTAGATGTAAAAGGGTGCGAGAGCTGCCAGTTTTTCTCGGCAGTTGTTTATGGGTAAATTATTTTTTTCGGGTTTAATTTTGAACTGACCTCTCATGAATGTGGCACCTGTTCCACGTTACAATGGAGAAGGTAGCAAAAAAAAAAAAAAAAAAACCAACCAAAAAAACCCTCCAAAATTTCATAAACACAGAAGATATAGGATTAAAAGTTAGGTGGGTTTTGGTTTTGGGTTTTTGTTTTTTTTTTTTCTTTTTGGTTGGGTTTCTTTACACTTACAGTTCTTTCTATAAGTTCCGAAGTTCACTGCTTTGTTTCTGAAGATTATTACTAATTTTTCCATAGCAGGCAGGAGATTAAATGCTAATTTTTAACACCTTATTAATTTTTCATTCCCAGATGGATTTACTAATTTCAAGTATTCTTTTTAAAACAGATAACCCTGACAGTGCTGAAGATTGGCTAATAAATGTGACTCTGAGTATTCGCTCATCCACAGACACTGGTGTTATGTTTGCCTTGGTTTCTAATGAAACAGTGCCTCTTGCATTGTCCATAGTGGACTCTAACTCCTCTGACTCACAGGTGATCTTACAATTATCATAGCAATTAACTGCATATAAGTCTCACATCTTGGTTTTGTCTCACTCAACTTACTGCCCCATTTGTGAAAAAATCGAGCTACAAAAGCCACTCACATGTGCTTGCACGGTAGCCTGACTTAATATTTTGAAAAGGATTTATGTCATATAGTGATGTGCAGAAAATATATTTCTATTAGAAAATGTATTTATATTAATGACTGATTAATATGTGTTAATGTATTTCTATTAATGAAAATATAATTGTATTAGTTATGTCACGATTACATAATGTAATCTTATTTCAGATCCATGACATCACGATTTCCTTAATCTTTCCTTCTTTAGCCTTTCCTTCCAAAGTATAATTATGTGTTCAAGTTATTCGTGGCACCTTCTGTGATCTCCCCCTTTTTCCTCTCTAGAAAATCGCTGTGACCATTGGAAGCATCACCGTTAAACATCTGGAATCAAAGAAGTTATGTACCCCCAGGAGGGTGCAGGTTGGACTTTTAGTAACCAAAGAGGAACTTAAGCTGTCTGTGGATTCACACACAGACAGAAGCAGTTCAGAGCACCTGTCTGTCCTGAGCCAAGCCATGATGGCAAATGTTGTCACTTACTTGGGTGGGCTGCCAGGTAAATCCTGTTTGTTTATTTTATCTATTATTATTTCATTTATTTGTACAAGCCTGTTTATCTTCAGCCTTACTCAAGCTAGGAAAAGCCTACAATTGTAAAAAAAAAAAAAATATGTGCTGCTTGTTTCATCCAGCTTTTAAGAGAACCTGCTTTTCAACAGCAGCATTATGTGGCCCCTTAAGGCCTGGGTCTCTCTCTAGATGTTTTTAATTTGGAAAATATCTTCATTTTTGAGTGGGGAAGAAATGGGCATTGCATACTTCCAAAATGCCACCAGCTGGCACAGTTTAGGAACTGCATCAAGCATGTGGGAAAACCAGGAATTTGGAAGTAATTTCGCTGTCAGAAGTGCAGAAGGAAAAGTCAGAAACATGGTTGCGACAGTTAAACTCTGGCAATAGATAACTGGAAATCTTTGTGCTGAAACAGCAACTATTTTGTTTAAAGGAGCGTAGCGCCAGTCTTAAAGACATGTACAAGGATTATTTGGTACAGGAATTGTACAGGTGTTTATCTATAAAGTAGTTTGCTTTCAGGGTGAGTCAAGAAGGAAAATAATACTGCCCCAGGTGAGGAATCTTCAAAGCCTAAAATACTCAAACTTGAAAACTGCCAGAGGAAAGATGCCATGGTTACAGTGCGTGGTTACTACTCCTAGAGCCTTTCTGTGCCTTCTATTATTTTATGGAGAATGAGTCACAATTACTAAGAAAATTCCAAGGGTTTGACCAGCATGTAGGCTGCAGTGTTACAGCACTGCCCCAGATACTCAGCATCTTTATTTTCATCCTATTTCTTCTGCAGAAGACAAGGATGGACAGGAGTAAGAAGAGGGGAGGGATATATATATATATATATATATATATATATATATATATATGTAATTCTTTCTAGTACACTGCCAGCCGCAAAGCAGTTGGCATCTTAACAGTTAAGATCTTTTTGCTTTGGGCATCCCAAAGAGATGAGAAGAAAGTATTAGTTACTTACTGCTCCTTAAAAATAATCAGTTTTAAAAGGTATCTTCAACATGCAAATTAACAAAACAAACAAAAAACCCCACCCTTTGTATGAAGTTTCTACTTAAAAGTCTCAAAAAAAAAAAAAAATCAACAACACCTCCCGTGTTGTCTGAAGGAGGCACTTCCACAACAACCTCTGTTACCAAAGAGGGGAAAAGTAGGATAGAAAAACTAGTTCAAGTCCTTTTGTACAGCCCTTCTGGCATTTATTCCTTCTGGTTCTCCTCTGAAAAGCCTCTGGGATTCCTGAGCAGTGTAAAATAAGCAGGTAGGGGGTCCCCACACTGAGCTGTGTGGTTAAAATGTGCGTCTCACGAACACCAGAAGTCCCTCATTTTGATACACCTTTCTTCAGATTAGTGAGCATTGGGAATATGCCTCTGATAATTAACTCAGTGGAACCATTCTAGCTGATGAAAGTGTTTTGGTCTGCCTTGTACCCTGAGACCTCAGACCAGTACCTGCTTGATTTTGCGCTGCACGTGCTGTTTCTTGGAAGCACAGCCCTGATCTGATGCTGCCAAACAATACCTAAAATGAGTAGAAAGAATCTGAATTTGCAGTAAGGAAGCAGTAAAATGTGTGAGGTTCCCAGGGGCCCCCAGCTGAGAACTTGCAGATTGGGATCTAGAGGAGCTTTCTGGCAAAAGCAAGGCAGTTCTTTCGGTGACCTCTAAGCCCACAAACATCTGTTTGTGCATCAGGACAAGAACAGCAGACTCCAGGAAACAAACCATTGGTTCGCTGCTGTGAATACAGGAAAAGCTACCATGAAAAATATTCCTGTGGTTGGGTTTCTGGATGCAAACAGACTTCTGAGGGATATTTCAAATCCTACTGACCTTTCTCAGCTTCGCTGACTTTATCTTGATCTTAAAGGAAAGGGGGAAGAACTAAAGTGTTTCCTGACAAATTGCTCTTTTGTCCCATGACTAAATGATGAATGGAGAGTGGAGTATTCCCCATGTTTTTTCCCTAATCTGAAAAACACACACGGGTTTGCATGCCTTGGCCTAACAAACTGAGTGTGCTTTCGTGCAGATGTTCCTCCGGGTGCTACACCAGTGACTGCTTTCTATAATGGCTGCATGGAGGTGAAGGTCAACAACAGGCAGCTGGACCTGGATGAAGCCATTTCCAAACACAACGACATCAGATCTCACTCGTGCCCGCTGATCATGCAGTAACGGTTCAGATATTAATTTAACTTCTTTTTTTTTTTTCCTTTCAGATATAATTTGTGTAATTAGTCTCATGCTGTAATGAAGCCTGCATTGTTTCATGCAAGATATGCCAGGAAATAGTCAGTGTTTTTCCTCCTTTTTGTATAGAATGGAGGAAAAATCCCCTCTCTGTTCAAAGAGACAATCAAGATGAAAATTCTGTAAAATGTTCCTTTTTTCATATCAGTGGTAGATTTTAAAGCCAAATTCATCTTTCACATTCGTACTATGTCCTTGGCATATTTAGCCTGGAGAGAAGGCTTGGGAATTTCTGTTTAGAAACAATTTTACTTTTCATTTTTCATGTATCAGCACAAAGTTACCAGTTGAAAATCATTTCAGTGTTTTAGAATCTGGACAGAACTTTTCCGGGCATAACGAGCGAGGAAAGATCTCTACAGGTTTTGTAATCTCAGCTTTTGGTAAAGCAAAAAAATATACCCTGGAATCCATAGCCCAAGCTCTCTGTGAATATGTTTACAAGTTGTATTTACATTGGTAAAGCAACTTCAAAATGGAAATGTTTCTTTAAGTAGCTCGATTTTTGAAAATAGCTTTTGTTATACCGTACCAGCTTTAATTCTCCTATCTTTAGAACCCAGCTCTAGAGTTTTAAAAGAGTTCTGGATCAGGTTAGGTAATTTAATTTAAAGGGGGTTAAAATACACCCAGGGAATTTTGGAAAAGAAAGGAAGTGGCTTGAAGGAAGGACCTCTGGTCTTCATCACAGGACATCAAACTGAAATTTGCCAAGCAAAACTGAGAAATTGTGGCAAATATTTCTATTCAGGACGCATCCAGCACTCCTCAACATAAGCAGTCTGATGGTCCATCATATTCCCTTTATTTAGGTCAACCTCGCATTCACAGAGCTCCAGAACAGATTTACTTGTGAGCTGTGCTGCAGGTGTGCTTCTGACATCCTTAAAAGCCTAAGTTTTTGCTGGTAACATCAGAAAGTAAAGCCATATTCTGCTCAGCCAACTTCAATAAACCAGCAAGTAATTAGAAAAGTATTGCTTTCCTCAGGTGTGCCCACTTCAGGCACTTCTAATATTTTTTTTTTAACATCCTTTGAGTGTTCTTTCCACTTCCAGCCTCATTTTCACACAACCACAGACCTCCCTGTGCAGCTCACCTGGTGGTTTTGTTAACCCCCAAACCAAACACATAGCAGGAGAATTGCTGTGAGCTACGGGTGGGCACTCTCATCCATCAGCCACAGAGACATCTGTCTGCCAGCATTCCTGACCTGAGGTTTGGCTTTCCACACTTGGGACACTGAGGTGGAAATACATGGACAGAAGGATGGATTGTGACAATATTCATTTTGAGGATTGCCTTTCTCCAGAGATACTCTGAGTGACAGGAGTGAGGTAGAATGCTAACCCTAACACATCAGTATTGCAGGATCTGTGCCCATCTTTCAACATTATTGCTCTGTCTGAAGTTATTGTTAAACCTCACTTCCCACTTGTGACATTTAAGACAGGATTTGCTCCAACTTTCACACCAGAGCAGCCTCTGAATCTGTTCATATGCAGCTGCTGACACCCAGGGGCTAACTGCCACTGAACTACTAGGGGGGTTTTTTTCCTCTCTAGGATGGTAAAACAAGCTTTTGATTTCTCCTGACTCCTGACAGAGGGGAGATAACTGCAGGAAAATATCCTTCCCTGCTCTCCCACCATCCCAGCACACACTTTCTTCACGTGGACCCGAGATGAAGAACAGCTTGACTGAAGTAATCAGGTTTTTCAGCAAGGCAGAAGAGCTGAATTGGGACTTTTGACATCAAATGTGGCCACTACACTTATGGTATCTCAGCAGCACCCTTAATTCTGGGAGGTTTTGGGTCAGGCCCTGCCTTCCACAACAGACACAGGAAGGGTGGGATGAGGGACACAAAGTGTCAGCACAAAGCTGTAAATACTTATGCTGGCCTGTGGTAACAAAACAAAAGGTTTGGAGGGGGGGTTTGTGGGGTTTTTTTCTGTTGTTGGGTTGTTTTTTTTAGGTTTTGTTTGTTTAAGTGTAATAAATTGTATAGAAATGAAAGAGAAAAAAAAATCACTTCGTCACACAGACCGTCTCTGTTTTCATGGAATAATATCTTAGGGTTTTGTAGTTACAATGAAACCTCTGCACTTCTTTTTTTTTTAAATGTAAAAGTGCCTCCCTATTGTAAGGATTAAATAAAGCAGCATTTGCAAGTTTCTATTCATTTTAAGTTGTATTTGCCTATCTTTATTCATTTTCACTGTGCAAGACTTGTTCTGGTGGTCAAATGGCTTAGTCAAGAGATTGTGATCATCTTCAGCATCAAAAGAGTTGGCTCAAATTAATATGCTCTCCAAATAGGCATCCCTGCTCTCTAGATCAATGTTTAAGCTTAGTAATTGTTCAATATTGCCTGAGGAAATTAAGCTTTCCTTCAAACTACATGTGGAGAAAAGATCAGGGAAAGTTGCCAAATTCCTGTGTTTTCTCCATCAGATGTATTTCACTGTATTTTTAGGCATAATCATTTCAGCGAGGGCCATTCAGTGTTTACAGAGAACAGCTGGACCTGCTCTGCATTTTCAGGCTCCTGTGCATGTGTGTTACAAATCAGCACATCCTGATTTCCTCGCAGATTAAATTCAGTCATGAAATTGGTTCCCAGTTATACCACAGCAGCTCCCTGCTCACATGCCTGAGTCCAGTGTACATGCTCCAATGTCTGCTTGTTTCCTGGTGGATTGGGTGCAAACACCTTTGCTGTTGGTGCTCAAGATTTAGCTCCAGAACTGTCACCTTCAAAGAAAGAGTGACCAAACTCATTCTCTGCCATTCTAAACCTGCCTGTCACTGATGTTAGTCCTTCACTGTCATTAATCACACGTACACACTTAATGTTTTATTGCCCCAGCAACCTTGTTATATCAGAATAACTGGCCTGATTTGCATGCAGTTGCATGTTTCATCTGCCAAAAAGTAGCAGTTGCTTAGCAAGAAGATTAAACAGATACAAGGAAAGCCACAACAGCCCAGTACCCAGGAGGTAAGTGAGGCATCACTCTGGGATTAAAAGGAACCGAGATGCTGAGACACTGGTTTTGTCCCATCTTCTTTTCCTGACTAAAGTCCTGCAACAGCAGCTCAGAGTGACCTTCATTCCTGTCATTTTAGATTATTACCCAATATACTGGTGCAAAAAGTGCCAACAAGATGAGAAATACTGTTGTGCTAAGAGCAGCATCTACAAAAAATTCTACCCAAACTACCTGTGGAATCTCCACAGGGTTTATCCTTCATGTTTTTAAAATACTCTATAGCCACAAAACAGCTGTACCCTCGTTGTTACACTGGGCATATCTTTTTTCTGTAGGGGTAGCTACATTTTGATAATTATGTGAATAAGCAGCTGGGTACAAATTCCTGTAGCTTTTATGTAATTCAGGACTTAATTACGTGGTTTTAAAAAGATTAAGTTGAGGGGTTTGGTTTGGTTTTTTTAAAAGGAATTTGTAGCATTTCAGCAAATTAGGAATATGGAAAAAAACCCACAAGCAACAAGACCCGAGTTTAGCCCAGTTGGTTAAAAATTGGTGCTAATAATGCCAAGGTCATGGATTCAGTTCCCTATATGGGCCATTCACTGAGGAACTGGACTCAATGATCCTCGTGGGTCCCTTCCAACAGAGAATATTCTGTGATTCTGTGAGAAATTAGTGTCACACAGGATAGGTTTGTTGAGCCAGAGATGTCCCCCTGCCACATCATTCACCGTGAGGACCGTGGGAAACGCAACAACAGACAAAGCATAAAACATTTCAAAGTAAGGGGGTGCTTTGTTTCTGCCTCTTGAGATGGGAAGCACCAAAAAGTCAGAAACCTAATCCACCTTGTTGTACTGGCTTTCTGTCCTGGCTAGATAAGGAACCAAAATCACCTCTTAGAAACAACATTAAACTTGAAACAACATTCCCCCCCAAAAAACCAACAGACACGCAAAGAAAAAAAGAGAACAATTTGATCCAAATAAATATTTTCGCTTCCTTTCCGCTGTCTTCTACTCCAACACAAAAACACCTCTTTCAAAATTAAAACCAAAAGCCACAGCTCACTCTCCCATCCTCGTTAGGCACACTTACATCGACCTACTTTGCAAGAGTTTGCCCAAAAGTCAGGGCTGTGTTATGTCCTGTCCCCCTGCAGCTCTACAAACACCCGTGTTTGAACAGGCACATTTGCACATCAACTGGAGCTTAAACAAGCACTTGTCGAGTCACTAGTGGAGTAACCAAAGGCACCAAAAGTACAAGACTGGTTTGTGCTGCCAGACCTGCTGTAGATCCAATCTCTTGCTCCCCTTTCCTCCAAAGAAAAATGAATCCTTGAAACTTCTGAGAGCTTTGCTTTACATTTGCAAGCAGGTCCAAAGTAGTGTTTTGTTTCTTATTTCTCATTAAGAAGCTGTTTCTCATCCCACAGTTAAAGGGTAAAAAAAAACCCAACACAGCAATGCAATGCTCCACAGTCATAAAAAGTTTTTCTAGAAAATCAGCTTTTCTAGAAAAGGAGCCAGAATGATCATCCTCTGCTGAAGGCCTGAGGGCTACAGAAACGGGGAGCAATATTTCTATATTGCTTACTAGTGGTTTCATTCATTATATGATAACTAAAACAATTATTAAAGTTAAGGACTTTATTAGCAGGACACAAGGAGACTACTGTAAGGCACATGCTGAGTTACATGTGAATTCTTGCAAGTTTTGGGTGGCACAGAAGAAACCAAATAAAAATGGCTTTGCTTGAAACATACCCCAAGAAAAAGCAGTCTGTGTATCAAACAACTACCACTCAGCAATATCTTACCTTTCCAGGAATGTTTTTTTTTTTCCCTTCTTCAGGTTCTGGTAATGATTCCACTCATCCAGAACTCAGTTTATAAAAATAAAACCCACCAAAACAAAGCTGTGGTTAAAGCAAGCCTTACTCTTTCCTAGCCTGTTGCAGAGTGCTTGGATCATTCCCTGATCATTGCCGGCAGATGGTCACAGACTCCTAACTCAGCCCACGGAAAAGCAATCTGCTCTTTTCAATCTGGGTGGGAGCCAGCCCTGTGCTCGAAGGGTTCCTTCTGGGAACAGGCAAACCCCGTCACCTTGTAATTCCCAACTTTGTGCCACCACCCTGGGCAGTGGAGGCATCGATTAAGCTGCACAGATGAGCTGGAGATTGTGTCTCACTGCAGGTTTGCACACACTCTCACAGCCTTTCAGAGGTTTCATAAGTAGTTCACTGGCAGCTTCACAAAACCTCGGTAGTGAAGTCATTATTCTGCATTCCCTGTTTTCC